CACTAGGAGAGCCAGAGGGTCTGCTCACCTGGGCCCGGCATGCTGTCCGGCTGCAAGAGCTCACTGGGACTGGGTCTGGAGATGAGTGTGGGGCTGCAGAGCTCTCACTCACCCTCAGGGGCTTCTGCTCCCTCAGTGAGATGGGGGTTATCCCCAGGTTTCAGCCCAATGTATTTTTGGTCAAATTTTGACCATGTCTGTAACAATATAATTAAAAAAAAAAAAAGAGAATACAGAGGTACACATTCCATTTTATCTGTCTGCTTTCCTTGATCTTGGTGGAGGGAGGGGAGCTGCTTGCTAGTCAAACATTTACCCACTAGCAAAGGTTGGTAAGCTCTGTCACAAACTATGCAAACAGGGACACCTGCCTTTCTGTAAGGAAGGATGCTGAGGGTCACCCCCTTGCTATGCTGCTTACTAGATTCAGCTCCTGTGCTGTTTCTACCCAACTTGACTCCCTTAGTTCTGTCCCCACTGGTGCTGTGAGCTGTATCAATTCATAACTGACATTACTGGATAAGGCTGCTGTGGCTTTAGGGAACAGCTCTTAGCACTGGGATGGAACCTTTTCTTTGCAGTCAGTGGAACAGGCAGGACGCACACTTGCAAAAGCAATGCCACCGAAATGCAGAGAAGTTCATGCATCTGTGGACAGGAAAGAAAAGAAGGAATTTCATGCATTTCTTTGTTTCTAAGTTCCCTGACCTATGCTGCTATAAAAGATGCCAGAGGTCTTCTTACGTACTGCATAACACTATGTCCTCTTGCAAAGAAGAACCCCTGTTTTTTAGAAAAACTTGCTTTGCTTCAGCCACTTTCAAGCTTGTGATGATTTTCAGGATTTTTCTCTAAACACACTCTCCACTTCTGTGAACATGTAAGAATATTTATTCCTCTGGTCATATCAATTCTTTCTACAATTGAAATTTCAACCCAAATTCTGTTCTACTTAGTAAAACAGTTTTCCTGCAGTGTTAGTGAGCTGAAGTAACCAGATCTTTCAGTGCTCCATAGTCTTTCCAGATTAGATGATGCTTCAGTCCCAACTCCTTTTTAAAAAGCACTATTGAGACGCTGTTTTGAGGAAAGTAGAAAGATTTCTCTTAATTTCAGAGAGGGCTTCTTTCCTCTGTGCTTTTTTTTTTTGTGTGTGGTTTTTGGGGATTTTGGGCTTTTTTTAAAGCAGTATAATCATTTACTCTAATGAAACGAGATACTACCTTCCCTTGCAAAGGATCACAGAGAACCCGAGACCCCTTTGTTTATGATATGTGACAAAATTAATAGCAAATCAAATTAAGGAATGACTCTGAATTGGAGTGACTTCAGTGGCTGTTAGTAGAATTACAGTTCTCTCAGGGCATTTGACACCGTGGAGGACTAGGGCCTCTGTGAGCTATTCCTCTCTTCCAGACCTTTGATGCTCAAGATTTTCACCTAGGATCTATTACAGCTTTCTAGCATATTGCCTTAATCACAGGGTATATTCTTCTTTGCACTCTAATTGTGTGACTAGTATCCCATCAACTTGATGAGAAAGCTGGAAAAGCCTATAGATTACTGTGCAAATTAACACAATGCCATATGGTTCTAATTGTACACTGTCTTGTTGTACTCTGCAGCAGCTAGAAGCAGCATTTGCTATTGATACAGTCATAACAACACTGTGTTCATATTAGTAATATACACTTACACAAAGAACATAAGGAAAATAGATAATAAAAATTATCAACAGATTTTTCAGATTACAGGAAATTCATGGCTGTCAGTAAAACATTAAACTATTACTACTGTCACTCAGAGACATTTTTTGGTACTTGACAAAGGACACAGCTCAGTATCAGTAACATGAGGTTCAGCCTCACATACTACACATGAAACGTGCAAATATTAATTCAAGGATGAAAGCATTCAGCTGAAGAAGAACCATCTGGGAGAATGAGCAGGGTGGATGAGAACGCATTAATTACAGAGTAACATGTACCATGGACCTGCTTTGCATGAAGAGCCTTTTCATATCAATAATTACAATACATTTCTAACTCCTTCTTGGACAAGTCTGCTTTCTGACCTCTGTTTGCCCAGCAGGGATAACAGAGTGGCATTGTGGAGTGATCGTCATAGTTCCTCATCAGGCCAGCACCTGCACAGCTCTGGCTCCAAATCCTTGGATCTGCTTCATGCAGAAAAGTCTGAAGAATAATAATGTTTATAAGAATAATATAATTATTTTAAAAAAAATTTCTAAAGAAACCAAGCATGAGATATTAGAATGCAGCACAGTGAATACGAAGTCATTGTTGCTTTCACTAGGGCTGGATTCTGAAAGGTAAGCAGGACAGACTTTGAAACATCTAAGCACCTACCTCCCAACTCCTAGTATTTTCAAGAAAACTAGGTACCAATATCACTTAAACACCTTAATTTTTAGTAGTCTCAATTCTTCTCAAAATTAATATGAAGTCCAATGTTTTGTTCTTCCTTAGCAGGTATGGTGGGAAGGTAGATAAAGAAGGGGAGTTTTATATGATGCCAAATTCAATCCAGTGAAACGTTGGCCTCCTATGTGTAGTTGAATGCAAGGGTGCAAGAATGCGAGCACATAGTCACCATTTCATATACACATATTGTATGATTTGAAACACTGTCATTTTGGTATAGCTTGCAACAGAAAATAAATCACTAAGTTCCCTATTGCTGTCCAGATATACTAAACCTACAGAGAGGCACAGAAAGGAAATGTATTTTTATGTTGCTCAAACCACAGATCCTATTCAACCATTAACGTGTAAACTCTTTTTTCATCCCAAATTGCTAAGCAGCTGTGTGATAGTAATTGGGAAGGAATTCTGTCATACCAAAAGCTGTTCATGCACAGGAGATTTCGGTTCAGTCCTGCCTTTGCTACTGAATTCCTGGATGGTTTTGGACAAGCCATTTAATTTGTGTTTTCCTCTGTAAAATGAAAATATATTTTTGCTGTCTTCTATTGCTTCTGGTTTTTGTTTTTAAGCTGTCATCTCAGGGAAAGATGCTCTCTTTAGACAGAAATCTAAATACAAGTGCCTCATTCGATTTGGCTTTGTGGTGCAAGTGTAATTCAATTAATTACTGTAAGAAATATGAACCTATTATGGATTATGCCCAGTATAATAAATACATAATTCCAGGGACAACCTGTGGCATATTTCTCTGCTGACAGCTTTCCTGGCTCTGTTACACTGTGCATCTGCTTTTTCTCCCAGAGGAATGCATTCAACACTGCTCTAATGATTGCAGTCATGCCCCTGTTCAGAAGCCTTTCTGAAGCTCTACCTTCACATGGATAGCTTGAGTCTCAGACTGACCAAAATCACAGGACAAAAGAGAATCTCCCCAGCTCTGTGCATGCAGCCTCTATAGCTAAAACCACAAGGTTTCTGAACTGCTCTAGTCTGAACCACTGACAGATATTACTTGTGTTCCCACTAGGTTTATGAGATGCACAGGCTTTGCAGTGACATCTCCAACGTGTGCCGAAGGAAGCATCCTCCGCCCCGCCGCAGCACTCAACCTTGGCCGTCACCCTTACCCCCGGCTTTCTACAGCTGGCGCTGTCAGCGCTGCACCCACGCACCACAAAGCCAGCCGGTGCCGCTGGTCTGCAAGCGATGCCGAGACACAGCCTCTGTTCCTGCGGCCACGGCACTTATGCCCGACGGCTGCGGCCCCGACTCCTCGGGGAAGGCAGCGTTCAAACGGAGAAAGGACGCTCTACGCCTGGGGAAAGTGGAAGTGCTGGAGCTGCCCCCACAGGGAGCGCGCCCCTGGGCCACTCCCATTCCCCCGCTCAGCTTTTCAGGGCTCAGCGGATGCTTGGTTTGGAAACGACGAGCAGCAAGAAGGCAGAACAATCAGTTCCGTCCTGTCGCTCTCTGCCACCTCGCTCCCGCCCTGTCGCTCCCGGGAGGTGGCAGTGTTCCCCCACAGAAGCCACCCGGCCCGCTCCGCTCCCAGACCGGCAAAGGAAGCCCTTTAAACTCCCTCTCACCCGTTTTCCACTGATTTACGGAAAATGGATTTATCGCGCGTGATCTGATCTGTAGAAGGCCAGGTGGGCTTGCGGGAGAGAAAGCTGCGAAGTGCCGCAGCACCGCCGGAACTACGCGATCATGGCATACGTACTTATTATACACGTGTATACCCATGTATGTACATATACATGTATATCAATATACGTGAGCCAAAGGATCTCTAAAGACGGGCATAGAGATGCACGGGCATAGAAATGCGTTTAGCCGCGGTGCCATTTACATTTTGCTCGTGCATTTGGGAGAGGTGGCTGGAAAGCCGCGAGGATGCGTGTCGGCTGTCCGTGTGCCACATTGTACCCGTATACGCTCACAGGCGCCTTTTAAATCCTCCCTCCTCAGGGGACAGGTGCGGGATTCAGGCCTCGTTGGCCAGGGCAGCTCGCAGAGGTGCTGCAGCACGGAGGGTCCGTAGGACATCCCCGGACCCGCAGCGGTTTCTGACGGACCGGCCGCCCCTCACGGCCCCACAAGTTTCTCTTCCCTGGTCACCCGGTCCGGCTCTTTATCAAAAGCCTCCTTCCCTTCCCCGCAGGGGGAAGGTGAGCCTTCGCACCCCCCAATGCGGCCCTTTACGCTCTGCCTGCCGGAGGGGGACCGCAGCATCCCCCGCGGCGGGACTCCGGCCCGTGGGCTGCGGGGCGGGGCAGGGCGGCACTCACCTGACGATGACATACATGACCAAGAAGTTGCCGAAGAGCCCCACGACGCAGACCACGGAGTAGAGGGCCATGATGGCGATGGCCGTGAACACGGAGGGGCCGCCGCCCGCGGGCGCGCAGGGCCCGCCGCCGCCCGCGCTGCCATTGCCGCCACCGCAGGGCTCGGAGCGGTTCCAGCCCAACGCCGCCACCGCCGAGGTGTTGCCCCAGGCGCCCGGCGGCGCGGCTGTGCAGGGCGGCCCGGGAGGGCGGCAGGCGGAGGCGTTGGCGGCGAACGGGACCTCCAGGGCGCCGGCGAGGAGCGGCGCGGACCCGTTGCCCAGCAGGTACGCGGCAGCCATGGCGCGGCCACCTGCTCCCCGCGCCCAAGGGACGCGGTGCCGGCGCGGAGCTGCTGGCGCGATGTCGAGGAGGTGGCGGCACTCGCCCGCCCCGACGGAGCGCCCGCCGCTGGCTGCGGGCACATGTGCGCGACGGGCGGGTCGGGGCGGGTCGGGAGGAGGGGTCTGTGGAGGCAGGAGCGGTGGGGCCGCCTGCCCGCCGCCCGCCGCCGCTCCTCCCAGGCTGGCGGGGCACGGTAGCGGGCGCTCCCCCGCACCGCCCTAGGTGAGCCCCCGCCGAGGCGCACCTGGTGCGGAGCAGGCGTAGGGCAGCGGGCGGCGCACCGGCAGGCTTCCCCTTCCCTGTGGCTGGCCTTGAAGGCAAAGCGCTTAAAATGCTCCCTACGAGAGCGCCGCGAGCATCGGAGGCAAACACCGGAGAGAAAGTCCCGGGGAAGATTGGCTTGGCGGGATAAAGGCTGGTGCAGGGAGGAGATCAGTGCGCCACTGATCAACGTAGTGATCCAGGGATCTTGACAAAACGATGTCCTCAATGATTATAGAGATAACTGAGCCGTGTAATAAAATGTGATGAAATTTACGGCAACACGAGGGGTGATTGTGAATAGAATTGTCTTTTGGAAATGACTCGGATCTCACAGATCCTCAGGATTTTCAGAGAACTTTCTGAGCCAGAGCTCCAAGGATGCTCTCCCATAGATATTACTGTGATTGTAATAGGGTGCGATAACACAGATAAGGAAAACATCAGCATTGTTCACTTCAACTGCACATGCATTGTACTGGGTGCTTGACTTACACACTGCTCGTTTGCACCAGCACCTTTCTGTGATCAGTTTGTTCCAGGTGAGTACAGAGGTGCAACTCCAGGTTTGCCTGCTGATCATTAGTTACTAGAACTTAGCTCCTTAACTGTTATTTTCACTAATGAAGTCAGAAGAGAACCTTGGTAACACAGGAAAAACACCTCCTAGTGAACAGGAAGGAGATAAGAGTGGCAGTGATTGCTCCTGCTGCCTCATCATGGACGCACACTCACTGTATCTGCTCAGCCTTTGCAGAGCACCCTCCGCTGCTTCAAGAGTGGTAATGACAGAAGTGGAGAAGAAACAAGTTGCAACCTAACAAAAAGATGCAAAATCCCAGGCATTTTAGTCTAAAGGCTTCTTGTCCTCCTGTGCCACGTGCAATAGGAACCAGTGCTGATCAGGGCAGGTAACAGTAGCAGAACTGACCACACACTCTTTCAATGTATATCTGATCATTTGTGGGGAGGAAGAAGAAGGAATGGGAAAGGGGTGCCGCTGGACTTTGAGAGAGACACAGATCTGGGGAATTTGTATTCTTTTTTTCATTCCATAGTGGAATGGAAGGAGAAGATTGACTAAGCCGTTAATGGGCACATTTAGTAGATAGCATGTATTGCTTTATGGCCAGAGAGTGCATTTTCAGCATCCTTTATTGGTAGGAGAGAGCCATTTAGCATCACATTCAGAAGAGCTTTAGAATAGGAGTTATTTCGTCTCTGGAAAAAACTGTGGACAAGGGGAAATGAAAGCAAGAACTCGCAAGAGATTTCGCATGGTCGAAGTCACTGTCTCTTTATCCCCACCTGAAGTATAGCATTTTTAGTCCTACACAGAGTGGGAGGAACAAGGCTTTAAAACTAGACCATTCTCAAAGACTTTCATCTCTGGGTATGTGCGCAGTGTGCAGGAGCCTCTCTCTGTGCTTGCCCTTTGTTGCACCAAAGCCATAAGAAGAGTTTAATGTAAGCCTGGACACAATTAGTATTTAGCCCTTTGAATACAACTGGGCCTGGCTGTGAAAAGGATGGGGAAGATGGGGTACAAAAATCAAGGCTGCCAGTATATCCACTCCATACACTGGCCTCTGCATTTCTTCTCATTAGCTACCACCATTTACCCTAATCTCTTATTTGCCTGGCTAGCTCTTGGGCTCCTGCTGCCAAAATCCACACAACTATTTTCTAGGATTTGAGAGGCTTGGGTAGGACTGTGGTGTGCCTTAGTAAAGGGGAGATGGACAGGTGCTAATGGAGTCAAAGGAAAACCAACTCAGTTTAGGTGTCTAGTACAAGTCAGTGTCAGAGAGGCTACATTTGAGGCAGGTCGCTGGTCTGGCATAGCATGGCTTTTCCTTCGCTCTTAGAGGTGTTTAGCTGTGAGGGAACCAGGTGCTGACTTGGGGAAATGAGAGTTATCCTGACTTCTGGCATAAAATCTGTGTGCACATCATTTAAAGTGGTATGCTTAGAGTTGACTTCTTTGTTCTCTATAGTAGACATGTAAGAACTGAGTTTGGAAGTGAGGGACAGCAACAGGCTGAACGGCCTGGAAGGCTGCTATGAATTTTGGGATGCTAGGAATATGTGACATGCTTGCTACAGTATGGGCCCCTAAAATTAATTGAATGCTTTAACAAATCTGATACTAACATTTTTGCCTCATTTTCTAGCATAGGGATAATAATAATTACAACAACAACAATAATAACAATAATAATAACGTATTGATAAATCATGTATGAGGATGGTCTTCAGTCAACTATCTTTGTGAAAAGTATAAGTTTCTGTATTCAGCTTTTTCTTTCTTCACAGAAAAGAAGTCTCGGTAATTTGCATTATTTCTGTATTAGTGGCCCAAGTCACCTGTGTCTCCTTGCTAAATTTTGGCAGTGACTCTGCAGGTAAGGGTAGTCTGCAGAGTGGCAAATATTAAATCCATTAGTTGAAAATAAACACTTTAGGCTTCAGCATCTCTGAGTTCTTCTGTGCTTGTGAAAAATAAAATGTATCTTCAAAGTTTAATAAATGTAGCTGTGAATGATAGCTTTTGTGTTTGCATAACAAGTTTGAAGGGCATCAGTGGGACTAGGCTGATGGTTGGACTAGATGACCTTGAAGGTCTCTTCCAACCTTGATGATTCCGTGACATAGACTGACTTCCTAATATGGCAAGGCCACAAGGCAGGTTCATTAGGTTTTGTTAAGGACTTTATTAACAGAACTATCCTTGAGAAAGCAATAATTTTGCTTTTGCTGAGTGGGAGCTACATATTGAATGAGAAGAATGAAAGGTGTTCTAAAAAACTACCAGTGTACTGCATGACCTAGAGGAAGTTAGTATGTGATGTAATGAAACATTATGGTAAGGGGAAAGCTTCAGTTCATACAATCTTATGTTTTCTAACTCTTGGATATTTTGACTCTGCAAGTTTAATTCTTGGTCATTGGTTAGGCTTTCCAAATCCAGTAGTTCAACAGAGGGGAGACTGCTGCGGCTCTGTGTCCTCAGGTCTAACTAGGAGCAAGACTGAGCTTGTATTCCCAATAGTCATGCCTGCAAACACCTGTATAGAACCCACATATAAACTTGTACACACAGCTGGCCACATAGATCAGCACAGACAGATACTCGACACTAACAGAAACACAAACAGCACCAACAGCCTTATCCTGTTCCCCTCTAGCTGTTCAGTATGAGAGTCTGCTGGTTGGAACATATATATACATATACACCGTATGGTTCTCTTCAGTGAGCATGTGGGATCAGACAGTCTGCCCAATAGCTGCTCCCTGCATCCCAGCTGTTTGCACCTGAACATAGGAGCCCTGAGGCCACAGCACCACACCAACACACACACACACAGGGCGACACACTAAGGCTCTCTTGGAATCATCCATAGACTCAGTGTACCCAGTAGCTGGCCTGGATCCCTCCCTTTTCCTGCCTGCGATTCCTCGCTTTAGCATCTCATGATACATTTTTGTGCAATCTCAAGATACTCCTCCCCGGCATTCCAGATTGTTTAATGAAATTAAATAATGCAATGTGGCAAAATAAAGAGATGACTGATTCTTGGAGTGGAAGAACACTAGTGAAACCTCTGCAGAGTGACATGGTGATGTCTGCCTTTTTGATTTATTCATGCTTTTATTTTGAGAAATAAATTAATTTCAAAATCAAAAGGAGAGGGAAAATGAGGGAAATATTGATTAGGTTTTTGAGAATTTTACAATGTGTCTTTTGGTTAATTTTAGAAATAGTTAAAAGTTACAGAATTTAAAATCTGTAACTGAAAATAAGCTCTACTTATTTTCAAATGAGGAAATAGCCTCAATTTGCTCCTGTGTGAAGTGTGAGCTTATGATTCTTTCCATAGAGCTAACTGGGGGATATTGTTGTCTGACATGTTTATCAAATGTAACATTCCATTGCCTCTACCTGCTTACATTTCCAAAACTTCTTCCTAGGCATCTTTTATGGATGTTTTTTCAGACTGCATTATTTATTCCATCCTTCAAACTCATGTCCTGTTCTTTCAAATACTTCCTTGTTTCTTATTTCCTCTGCAGCCCTTATAAGAAGTGATAAGACATACATTTTTATCTACAGTATGGAAATCTGTCCTTTGTAACTGTAATGATACAATTACCATCATTCATGTTCCCATATGACTACTCTTAAGTTGGAATAATTGGAAGTTTTAAATAAATGGATATTTTAATTCTAATTATTCTTACATATAAAAGTTAAAAATGTCAAAGATAGTGCATATCTTGGTCAACAGCGGCTGTCCAAGCACAGTTTGATCTTCACGTTGTATGTTTATAGGGTGGTTCTCATACAGCCACTTGTTGCACCAGTGATTCAGACCTGAATATATCAGTCATAGTGTGCATGTTCACCTGGTTCTCTGTGTCTTCATCAATTCTGTTCTTCAGCTGCCTTACAAGGGAGAAGATAGGGGTCCACTGCAAAGAAAAAAACTAACCTGTCTCTCAGTACTTGTGCAAATGCTTAGGATGGTGCCAGTGTCCTGGATGGTAGACATCACAAAATGGCTGAAGTGAGGAGGCCACTCTGGAGATCATCTAGTCCAATAGCCCACTCAGACCAGGGACATCTACAGCAGAGTGCTCAGGGCTGTCCTATTAGGTTTTGAATAGATGGAGACTCCAC